TATCTATCTATCTATCTATCTATCTATCTATCTATCTATCTATCTATCTATCTATTTATCTATCTATCTATCTATTCTGAGGTATGTCCCATAGACTTTAGGCCAAAAAAAAAGACAGCAACATGTTAACATTTTTATTAATTTTTTACGTCAACCGATCGAGTTTCTTTGCTCCATTCCATGCTGCAAACATCTCAAAGAAGTCTCGTTACCACTCTGAGGATCCTGCACAGTCAGGAGAGAGTGTACTCCAGCCCTCAAGCTTTTGGCCTTGAACACCAATGGAGAGTTCTAATCCTATATTGGACTGGCTCTTACTGAGTATCCCCTTTCTCCTGACACGTATCCCACACGGCCTGGTTTGTGTCTGACGGGTACGGTCGGAGCAACCTTCTGTGATCCCCCACAGTGACTCTGGATGTTGTGCACTTGATCAAGCGGTTCATAATGGAGTGGGGGGGGGGGGGTACGCTTTACTTAAATCGTTATAATCGTCATTTTTGGACTTCTTGCTGCAGGGTGTTTTATCACAAGAGCCAGCACGTCTCCTAAATGGCAAGTACATAAGTACAAGTTGGCCTTTAGAAATCAGTCAGGGAGGAAGGAAAATATAAAGCGGGGCTAATAAATAGGTCCACTGCAGATCAGCGGGAGGCGAATGTAGATGATCTAAATTGTGCCCCCATCGACACAATTTGGATCCTTTAACAGAACAATTTGGATCATTTAGCAGATGTGCGGCATTGATCCTGCCTGCCAGGTCCAAACTAGGCTGAAAGCGACAGACGGATGCAGTACTTGATTCAAAAACCTCCCGACGTGAGAACTGAACGCAGGCTTTCCGCTAGCGATGGCAGAGTGGCCAACTGCTACACCACAGACTCTGACTCTGGCTGATCTATCAATGTCATGCTCATACTGTGCCGGAACAACATAAGGGGAACTGCTGCTTTTTCTTTCCTCATTCTTACTATCGTTATTTTCCCACTACTTCTTTTGTATGTTTGTCACTCTTGTAAACTGCTTTTTCCAGGGTGCCTTGATAGTCGAAGCAGACTTTGTGCTCTTGAGACGAGAGAGGTCAGCAGTTTAAGCCTGGTTCCCAGTTTGGACGTCTCTGTTGATATCCACCCATTGGCGCTCATATGACTTTATGCCGTTGCAAGCGCCGCCGTAAAACATTACTATAACTAGACTGCTAAAACTAAAAAATGGGAGGGGGGGGCAGAGGTACTTACCACTTCTGGTTTTGATAGGGATGGAGGCTGGGTGTACACAGGGGTGCCGAAAGTGAAAGGTCCAATAGGCGGCTTGACGATAGACGGGTCGTGAAAGGCCACGGAGATCCAGTACTTGCCGTCGTCTGTCCGCGAGTAGGTCACGTCGTAAGGCCGCTTCAGGAACCCGACGTGAGTCTCTGTAGCTTCATCGAGATCTGGACAATATGAGTCATAACGCAAAATCAGACGCTCGTCAATTTGGGGGTAAGCGGAGTTATTGGTATCATCTTAAAGCGTGTTCATTTGTCTTGCTTTCGATGAAAAAATACCCAATTATATTGAATACAAGTCGAGATATTAGCGACTGGAAAGGGTAGGGGGTTCCTGGTAGCAGAGGTAAAAATTGCCGAGAAAATGACCGCCAAAATTGGTTATTTCCATAGCTTGAGAGTCCATGAAAATTGAAAATTTACTCCTTTTTTTTCTTTCTTTTTTTCCCCTTTAATCCATTTTTATCGGTAAAATCCACACAGAAATGTGTTCTTAAATGGACGTAAAAAGTGTTGAACCAAAAGTAAGACTTTCAATAAAAATTGCCAAACTGTGTGTGTGGGGGGGGGGGGATGTCGATTTATTCAACATCGTTATATTGATTTCACCACGCTGCCTCACATATTGTGTTCGGACTTCTTAAAGATTTGACGCTAAGACATTTAACCGATAAGAAAAAAAAATACCAACGTTGTGATTAGCAAACAAAGACAAGAAGAGAAGGTTTGATACATTCACATAAATGTGCCATAATGTTATTTTCTGATAATATCTTCTTATGTGTATGTATCAATGTATGTATGTATGTATGTATGTATGTATGTATGTATGTGTGTGTGTAGGCTATGTATATATATAATAATAATAGATAGTATTTGTATAGCGCTAATCCCTGCTTACCAGCAAGCTCTGTGCGCTTCACATTCTATACTATTACCCCAGCAGACGTGAGAGCATTCTGAAACAACCTCATCTTCCTGGGAAGCATACAGTGCAAGCAGCCATTTATAGGCGCTTAGACACTACCATACCAACAAGATCTTTAGCCGTCTATGGCCGGGTACCCATTGCCTCCTGGGTGTAGTAAGCAAAATTTGTGCAAAGTGCCTTTCCCAATGACACAACATCGGGCCCGCTACTCGAACCCACGAACCCGGTACCTCACGATTACGAGTCCGGTAGCCTAACCACTTGATATCTTGTTGAAACTGTCTTTTTTAAAGTTAGCTACTCAGTGGCGAACGAGTGTGTTTACTATCTAGCTTAATTAACACTGTTAATGTTTACAATTACTGTTCATTTATATTATGTATGTGACTGTGAGCCAATTTGTGAGTGCAAGCATTGTATTATATTGTTATGGTTATGTGCACAGATGTGTGTGGAAGAGAGGATGTGTGAGAGAGAGAGAGAGTAGGTGTGTGTATATATATGGGTGTGCACATGCTCGTGCGTATGTGTGTGCATGTTGGTGTATGTGTGTGAGTGTGTGTTTGTGCGTGTGTGTTTGTTTGTTTGTTTGTACGCGGTGAAACACCAAACCAAAAGTCCAAGATCTGGACAATAAAGATGTATCTTATTTTATCGTAAACCCTCCAATGGGCTCCTCAATCATATCTCCAAGACTGAAAGGGGAAAAAGTCAAGATGCGGCTGTGAGTGCAGAAGACATATTTAAGACATTGAAGCACCGAGCTGGCGGCATTGCTTTATTAACACGTTTTGTGCCAAGTCGGAATAATAGCTTTGTGATCTCCAAGAAAGTTTTCCACGAGCAAAAGGAATGCTTCCGAATTCCCAAACTGCAAGTTCAAGTGGAGTGAATTTGTCCTTAAATATTTCTTCACTCAAAAAGTAGCAAATTTCAGGACCCATTTTATTTTCGCTTTACTTTTGGTTTCCCAATCCAGTGGCCGTATGAGTTCGAGTCTTTTGGCCTGTTTATCAACAAAATAATTTAGATGTTTATGTATGCCGTGTTTTGTCGCTGTATATAGTGTTTAGAGTTCATTGTTCACGAGTTCACGACACCCGGAGCTACAGAAAAACCTTCTTTCAATTCTGCTTCACTTTTTTTCTCTTTTGTTTTCACCAAAACACAAGAAAAACGAACCGGCTTTAAGATTTTACCAACGACTCCATATGTCCAAAAATTGACGAGCGCTTGATTCCACCGCGCAGTGACACATGTGATATATCCCATTTGAGACCAACAGGTTTTGATTGTTGAAGTAAAGAGAAGCAAATTAAAGAAGCGTTATAATAATAATAATAAATAGCATTTGTATAGCGCATATCCCCGCTCAACAGCAGACTCTATGCGCTTTACACTATATTATTACGGTCATTTAGCGCTGTGGAAAAAGGTAAGACAGACAGGCAGAAACAACATAGGGAAAGTAGAAAAGTAAGACCTGCCAAAGGCACCCTCCAACCACCCGCAGATCCAGAAGTAGGGACAAACCTTTGAAACCACCACAGATGTTCCGGGTGTGTTTTGCCTATTGGCACTCCGGTGTCTGAAAAGACAGTGCGTGTGTGCAGTGCTTCCAATGATAACGCATTATCTTAACCCTCTCCGTACGTCGTGTTTTACTAGCGTATCCATACGACGTGGGGAACTCTATGCCACCACTTTCTAAAGAGGAAATTTACTCGTTAATCCGATCCGTATGCTTTGCATAGCTGCAGAGATCTAGCTAGGTCTCTGATAGCAGTCTGTCAAAATAATTTTTCGAGAAATATTGAAAGTGTCAAGGAGATCTTCGCACTAGAAGTATTCTAAAATGTGAAGAATACAACGCAGGGGGATAGGGTTAACTCGTGATTACAACTTGGCAACTTCACTTGTAGGATAAAGTATGATCTATCAACGTGACTAAAGTAATACATTATTCTTTATGTAGGCTATGCGGATGTGTATAAGAGAGTGCTGGGAGTGGGTCCCATAATGCCAAGTCTAGCACCTTTTTATAAGGAAGCTATCATAATCCTTTTTTTAAAAAACTGATCAACGTCGCTACGAGGTTGATAACGTTGGGGTTTTGTTGTTTTTTTGTTGTTGTTTTTTGTGTGTTTTTGTGTGTTTTTTGTGTGGTTTTGTGTGGTTTTTTGGGGGGTGGGTTGTTGTTTTTCAAGAGACACGTGGGTGTTTGTTAGGAACAATTGTGTCACGTCGTGGTGGAATCAGGCGCTCGTCAACTTTTAGGCGTATGGGGTTATCAGTATTATCTTAATGCCTGTTCATTTGCCTTGATTTTGGTGGAAAAAAATATCCAACTGTGTAGAATAGAAGTCAAAATATTTGCAATTGAAGGAGTTCAGAGTCGCCTGATTTCAGAGGTAAAATTATCGAGAAAATGGCCACCAAAGTTTGGTAACTTCCATAACCTGAGAGTCCTCGGAAATGGAAAATGTACATTTTGTTTGCCTTTAATCAACGTTTTTCAGTACAATTTCCTTGGGACTTTGTTTTTATATGGACATAAAAGGAATAGAACCAAAAAAACAAAAATTCGATAAAAATTATCTACCTGGCGGAAACATGCCTGTTTCTCCGATTTCACCACGATACCTCACAATTAATACTCACTCATTAGGGCAGCAGCGAACTCCGTGTCCACTCCTTCTATCTCAGACACCAACAAGCGCCATGTTCCAAGAAGTTGGTCTGTGAAGTAACAAAAACATAAGGACGTTTTTTTATCTCCGTCGCACTGAATTGTTTCAGTATGCATAACAATCAAGTAACTCACCAACCTTCGGTTACAAAATCAGCAAAATAAACCACCTCTTTTTTACAGCAGTGAAGTTGAGTGTTTTGGAACAAGGAAGATCTCAACAAAGAATGAAATGCCAAAACATAAACTTTCGCCCTCTCAACTGAACAATGGTCCGAAGTAAAGATGAGACTTCTTGCGACATTAATTTGTCTCACGTAGATCTAGGTAAAACTACGAGTTAGGGTATTTCTTAGTGGTTTGGGTGTTTTGTTACGTGAGAGTTTAGAATAGCTATATAGTCCAATAGTCCAAAGGGAATGATATTCCTGTAGCATTTCTATTTGCGCCAATATGTGAATTGAGTTTCAGAGCTAATTTTTATTCTACTATGGTTTTACGGCACTTGCAACACGATAAGGTCGTATAAGTGCTGAAGATAAGAGGTGTTGCAAGTACAAGAGAGTATAAAACATAGAAAAGAAGGAGGGGAGAATCAGATAGGGACGAAAGGTTTTTAAACATGAAAAAGGAGCGAACCACACCAATAGTGCACCCGTCAACCACCCGCAGAGCTATGTTAAATAGGTTAACCCCTTCCACTAGTAATGTAAGCTCACATAAGTTAAAAATGACAATAAAGGAGTGCAGACGAGATAAAATAACAGTATAGGAGTAAGGCATCTGAACACCTTTTCTGGCAGCCTCTCCCCTTTTTTAAAATGATAATCATAGTGGACGCTTAGAGACATCGGATGATATGACAAGAAACAAAAACCAAAACAACCGAAGGGCTATAAAGAAAATCGGAAGCACTAAGTCCTGCTGACATTTCATAGAAAAACAGAATTAAATGGTTTGGCCATCTGTTACGAACGTCAGCTTGCCAGTCAGCCTCGAGAACTCCTTACACCAAGACTTTTTTTGTGTGTGCTCAGGCTATAAAGGAATTGGTAGACGACGCAAAATACAGATTGAGGGAGTCAAGGAAACCCTGAGAAATTATAATACCCCAACCGAAAGAGCTTCAGAGATGGTGTACCATAAAAATCTGCATCTCCCCTAGACGCAACAGGAGATGGAAAAGTGAAAGTAAAAGTAACAGCATACAGTAACAACACAGAATAAGACAATGGAACTGCTCCATCGACCACCTGTCCAAGACAATTGCCTGTGCAAAGGACCACTTCCCACTTCAACTCTTGCGGGTTTGTTTGTTTTTTTAATTATTTTGTTTTTGTTTTTGTTTTCTACATTATTATCTTCTAATGACAATGTGCAACGGGCCAACTGTCTGGTGAAAATAGTGAAATTGTATCGGTTTAATGTCCCTATCAACAATAGTAGGCTATTTAAGAGGCGGGACCTCCGAATTTAACGTCCATCTCCGAAAAGACCGAGCCAATGAGAAATTCGTGTAAAGTGACTTTTGATGCTCATATAACCTTATGCAGTTGCGAGCTCCGAAAACCTAACTAAAACAACACAAAACAAAATAAAGTGCCTTTCCCAAGGACACAATGTCGGACAGAATTGACGCTCGAACCCCCGAACCCGCAAACACACGATTATGGGTCCGATAGCCCAACAACTACAACTAGGCTACCCAAGCCACAACCATCCCTCTAAGATGGCCACTTTTCTCCTCGACAAAGAGTGAACGTCTTAGACAGGTTTGATTGCATCTATCAGGGTTTTATTTAATTCTCCGAAAAGATAAGCATTCCTGCCATGTCTGTCTGTAAACACGTGCATGAGCGTTACCTGATGAGTTCGCCATCTCTCTGGACAGACAGTACTGGACGATAGATCTCTGAAAAATAATACATGTATACAAAAAGATAAAGAATTTATAACATTAGGTATGAATGGAATTTATTACATGAGTTATGAATGGAGATCATTAGTTATCTTACTTGTTGTAAAACTATCAGTTTTAATTCTGAGTTGAAAAATTGTTTCACAACATGGTGCAATCAGGCGCTCGTCGCGTTATAGACATGTGGAGTTATTGGTACCATCTTCTTAAAGCCTGTTCATCTACGATGCTTTGGATAAAAATAAAAACCCGTTTATCTTGATCGGAAGTCGATATATTATTATTTGAGATTGAAAGGGGGTTGGAGGGGGGGGGGGTTCCTGGTGTCAGTTGTAAAATCAGCGAGAGAATAGCCACCAACGTTTGGTGAATTCCAAAGCTGGGCGTACATTGACTAGAAACTGCAAATTTACTTCTTTTTTTCTCTCTTGATCAACGTTTTTAGTAACGCCCACGCATTAATGTGTTCATATGTTGACATAAAAGGTGTTGAGTCCAAAAATAGAAATTTGATTTGAAAATGCCCAGAGCCAAAAAAAAACAACAAATTCCGGTTCCTCCGAATGTCATTATTTTGACGAGCGCCTGGTTTCACCGCGATGTCACACGATTGAACTCACATGAAGAGGTTGGGTCAAAGGTTATGACAACTGGATAACCTTCTTCTGGAATCAAAAAGGTCAGTGAGTACATAAGACACATATCTTGCCTGTCAGCACCTGAGTCATTCAAAGAATTTGTTTATCAGTGCTTGCTACAGAAACAGCATAGGCAGTTTGGGGGGGGGGGGAGTAAGCAAGCAAGCAAGCAAGCAAGCAAGGAAGGAGGGAAAGAAGGAAGGAAGGAAGGAAGGAAGGAAGGAAGGAAGGAAGGAAGGAAGGAAGGAAGGAAGGAAGGAAGGAAGGAAGGAAGGAAGGAAGGAAGGAAGGAAGGAAGGAAGGAAGGAAGGAAGGAAGGAAGGAAGGAAGGAAGGAAGTAGAGTAAGTAAGTAGATAGAGTAAGTGAGTATTTATTCAGTGTTTGAGACCATTAGCCCACGTCACACAAGAGAAACATTTTACTGGAGAGACTTCCATGACAACCGCATAAATCATAAATGACATACTTAGCAACAACATAATAAATTCGTCTAGAGTTATCAAATAAATTTTCCATAATAAAATCGTACAGGTTGTGCATATATACCTCTCTCCATTGGTCAAACAGTGCATATAGCTGTCACTGGGACGTTTGGGAGGGGGCAATTATAATGAAACGCAAGTAAGTATAATTCTTAATACCCAACTTGCACACGTTAAAGATCACTTGGCGATTGAAAACGTTTGGTGGGTCCGCGCCCTCCTATGACATTATGCAGTTGCGAGCGCCGCAAAACACTTACCAAACAAGAAAAAAAAAGAAAGAAAATACCCAACTCATTCTACACTACTTTCTTTTGTCCCGTGTCCAGGTTTTGGCGCTGAAAATTGGCAATTTATAAAATATGGCACAACGCGTTGGAATCAGGAGCTCGTCAATTGTTTTGGCATATAGAGTTATTGGTTTTATTTAAAAGCTTGTTCATTTGTCTTGCTTTGGGTGGAAAAAGATACCCACCTATCTTTAACTATAGTAGTTGAGATATTTACGATTGGATGAGGTGGGGGCCGACTGGTTTCAAAGATAAAATTAGTGAGAAAATGGACGCCAGAATTTGGTGACTTCCAAAGCTTGAGAGTCCTTGGAAACTGCTGATTGTGTGCCTTTAATCAACGTTTATCAGTAAAATCCAGCCAGCGTATGTGTTTTTACAAGTACATGAAAGAAAAGAAAAAAATATTAGATAAAAATTATCAAAGAGGCAGAAAAATACCCAGTTCTTTGATTTCATTATTTTTGACGAGCTCCTGATGATTTCACCACGATGCCTTACAAATACAAATGAGTTAATTTGGTAGCGACTGTTAAAGTTACACTGTTGGGAATAACACAAAGAGACACTGAGTTGGTTTCCCTGCTGTATAAGGAATACGGGCATGTACTTGGCGGGTGCTTTAGTGAGGTTTGCTCCTTTTTCTATCAAACATCTGTCACCATGATCTCTCCCTCCTTCTTTTTTACGTTTGTTCCTCTCTTGTAACACCTCTAATCTTTGGCACTTGTGTGACATTATCGTGTTGCAAGTGCCGTAAACCTCTTACTTAAACTAAAAACTAAGCATAACGAATCCCTCATTCGACCTTTGTCAGATCCTCCTGGTTATACGTTCGTGCTGCCCCTGCCAAGGACACCGACAACTCACCGTTTGACGTACATGGGAAGAAACCTGAAACAAAAATAAAATCCACAAAAACACGATATCGGAAAGAAGGGGGCCACTGGTAGTCAGTCCATCAAACTTACACAATGAAATCCGCCTTTGCCTCAATCACTCTAAACCACTAATTTTGATTTTTTGATGGTCTTCCAGAATTCACCAAGGGACATCTAATAATGCGCTGTGCTATGATCTGCTCTGTCCAGTACTATAATTTTAAAACACATATACACTCTAAAAACTCAACGCGTCATTAATAATTCCGGGGCAGTTAGTGGATAAAATACACCAAGCCTGCGCCTAACATTGAAACTCGATACTAGTTATAAATTACTAACCGATGCAAATCTTTGGAAATTAGCATTAATTAATTAAACTTTGAGGCTCTGCTAATAATGCTACACGCGGATGCTACTGCTTCATGTCGTGTCACATACAGGCCAGTGGGTGGTGGGCGGGTGCTCTGGTGTGGTTTACTCCTTCTTTCCTATCAAACATCTGTCGTCCTTATCTCTCCTTCTTTTTTTATGTTTGTTGCTCTCTTGTAACACCTCTATTCCTCGGCACTTGTATGATCTTATTGTGTTGCAAGTACCTTCAAACTCTTACTAAAACTAATTTAAACATACAGGCCTATCTAAACAGTATTGAACAGGGCAGTTCCAGGTCAGCAGCTTCATGCATGATGTAACGTGACAACAAAACTTAGAAATTCATGTTTGTTTGTTTGTTTGTTTTCTTGTTGTTTGTGGGTTTTTGTGTTGTTGTTTTGTGTGTGTGTGTGGGGAGGGGGGGTATAGTTTGTTGTTTTTGGTTAATTTTTTATTGGCTATTTGATTCAGTGGCAGATTGGCACGCTCAGACATAGCATTATGACTCGGGTGTGGGCTGCAAACGTAGCCTACTATTTATTTCCTCTGATGAATCAGCAGGGCCGTAGTTGTTTGGGTTTTTTTTTGCTTTTTTCCCCGTTCTTCTTAATATAATCGTCTAGCTGTATTAAAAGATGTGCCTTTAAAACCATAGTAATTCATGTCATGTGAGAGAAAGAATGAGACTGCAAACACTGCAATATAAATAATAAGTAGAAGATATTGATATCGAGCCTCTCTTGGAATAGCCGACGGATTTTCCTCGGAGTCGAGGGACCCCGGCAACAGACAAAATGCAACCAAATCTAGGTTTGTTTGGGGTTTGTCTTTGGTTGTTATTTTTTGTTGTGGTTTATTTTTAGTTTTAGCCTAGTGGTTATGCTCTCGGACTCGCAACCGTAAGGTCGTGGGTTCGAATCCCGCCAAGGGCCCGACGTTGTGTCCTTGGGAAAGGCACTTTACACGAATTTTCCTCACTTCACCCAGGTGGGAATGGGTACCCGGCTATAGACAGCGAAAGATCTTGTCAGTTTGTTAGTGTTTGAGCGCTTAATCGGCTGCTCGCACTGTATGCTTCCCGGGAAGCTGAGAATGTTTCGGAGTGTTCTATGGTCTGCTGGGGTAATAATATAGTGTAAAGCGCATAGAGCCTGCTGTTGAGCGGGGATATGCGCTATACAAATGCTATCTATTATTTTATTTATTTTTTTTTGGGGGGGTGTCTTGTTTGTTTGTTTGTTTATTTGTTTGTTTGTTTTTTGTAGCTTTTTGGGGGGGGTGTATTTTCTAAAAATTTAGATGTTTAAAGGCCCACCATAGACGCAGTTTAGATCATTTTTAAGAGGTGGGCTTCCGAGCCTGCATTCGTGCCCTTCTGTGTGTGTGTCACAACGTACATCTTCTGTCTTTCGATTTGCCAGCCGCCCGACCTGACTATCAATGATTTATTTATAGAGGCACCAGCCATCCATGTGAATTTGCCAGCCGAACTGAATGAAAGTGTGGTGGCAGAACGGTTAGTGCGCTCGTCTTCGAAGTGGAAAATTCGGGTTCGAGCCTCGGTTCGGGCACGAATTTTTTTCGCACCCTCCTTCCCACCCAGCAGCAACGGGTACCTGACTTCGAGTTGGGGAAGTAAAGGTGGCGTGGAAAGGAACTGGCCACCCTACCTCAATATGTCATGGGCTCATGAAGTTGTCTCACTAACAAGGCAATCCCCAATGTCCGGATTGGATGTGGGAACAACTTTACTTTTTTTTAAACTGAAAGATAATTCCGCATTGTACAGTGTTTAGATTAGAGCCTGCGGGAATTAAGCACCATCACACACATGTTCACTTTACCATCACTTTATCATTATTCTTTTCCTTGAATTAATACTGTTGTTTGACTTTCAGATGCCAAAGTGGCGTCGGTAGTCTAGTGGTTAGGCTACTGGACTCGTAATCGTGAGGTTGTGGGTTCGGGGTTCGAGCCTCAGCTCAGTCCGACGTTGTGTCCTTGGAAAGGCACTTTACATGAAATTCTTTTATGGTTCGGTCCTTTCAGAAATGGACGTTAAACTAGAGGTCCAGCCTCTTAAATAGCCTAAATAGTGCTGATAGAAGTGTTAAACCTATACCATTTCACCTTTTCTTCAGATGACAGGATGTCTTTAAAGTGACCAAGAAGACTGGGCATTGGAACCCTGGGAACAGTCTTTTAGTTTTAGTAGAGGTTTCACGGCGCTCGCAACTGCATAAAGTCATGTGATCGCCAAGGGGGGGATGTCAACAGAGAAGTCCTTACAGTTACAGGGAATCAGACTAACTCTTCTCACCTCTCTAGCTATTAAGTTTAGTTTTAGAGAGCGTGTCACGGCACTTATAACACAATTTGGTCATATATTATAAGTGCCGAAGATTAGAGGCGTTACAAGTAACAAACGCGAAAAAGAAAGAGAAGAGATAAGAATGATAGATGTTTGATAGGAAAGAAGAACAAACCACACCAGAACACCCGCCAAACACCCACAAGGTCTCGTTTCAGCTCAGTCATAACATACTGCTGATCCGCCCCGTCGAGCTTGCAGAGAGGAGGACGAGACAATGGACCTGGTAGGCCCTATTCCTGAAATGTCCCACCAGCTACCGTGCCAAAACACGTCTGCTGGGACATTTCTTCAACGACTCACAATCAGCATTGTTCAAAAACCCCGGAGTGAATACTGAGGTCCTGCTTGCTGTCGGCATCGCTGACCAATTATGATGTCACAGTGGAAGAGGGAACAGAGAGAAAGAACTAATAAATAGAAAGAACATATTGCTGAGAAAAAACAAGACAGAGAATAAGAAAAAAGACATACAAGTTTATTCCTCCAATGACATTAGTAATGAGCATCAATACCGGTACTGTACAATTATTATTGACAAGAAGCTGTCAAATTTTGAACCGTCCACTAGACTATCATCATCATCCAGTGCCAGATCTGCGACAGACATCGGCGATCATGATTCTCCATTCATTCCTTTGCTCGGATGCTCTAAAAAAAAGCTACGTTTCCCTGATCTTTCCCTGTTACCCATTTGTTTAGGTTCCCTAAATATGTTGTTCTGGGCCTACCAGAATATCATGTACACAAAAACACTTTGCAAGATACAGATCTAGACCACAGTTAAGTAGAGACAGTTCGTTAGAGTAAAGGGAAGCACATTGACACAATAATGGTCATTCAGGGCCTGACATTTTTCTTTTTTAATAAATTTATAGTAGAGGTCTTTTTTACGGCGCTCGCAACTGCATAAGGTCATATGAGCGCCAAGGGGTGGATGTAAACAGAGAAGTCTTTACAGGGAATCAGACTTAGGCTGCTCACCTCTCTAGCTTCAACAGCACAAGGTCTGCCTCGACTATCAAGGCACCCCGGATATAGCAGGTCAGAGAGTGACAAACATACAAAAGAAGTAGAGGAAAATGACAATAGTAAGGATCAGAAAGAAATAGCAGCAGTTCCCTGTTGTAGATCGGGCACAGTTACGAGCGTGACATGAGTCAGCCCATTTACAATTCTATGTTTGAACGAGAAATGTTCCCCCTTTGGGAATGGCCTAAAAACACGTCAGTGGCACTGCCCCGGGGGGTGCCTGCAAAAAGTCAGACAAACAGACAGACAGACAGACAGACAGAAACAACAGAGGGAATGTGAAGAAGTAGAACCTATCAGTGGCTCCCACCAACTACCCACAGGAATATTAATTCCGTTGGAAGGAAAGCAAAGATGAAAAATCAGCCAGTAGAGTGGTCTATTATTAGTATGACCAGCTCTAATCCAGTATGGTTCGAGCTCACACCTACAACATAACGCTAAGGAACAAAACAAACAAAAAAACAAGACATAAAATGAATACAAGTTTATTCCTCTAATGTGCATCATCAATACTGTACAATTCTTACTATTGACAGACAAATCTATCATATCTTGAACCATCCACCACATCTCCATGTACACAAGACACACATAGCAAGACACAGATTGAGGCCTAGACCACAATAGAGAGGAGCATGGTGAAGGAGCATAGTTTCAGTTGTAACTAAGCCCTACCACAAAGAGAATGGTATTTCATTTCTCAGACATAGGTGCCAACTGGCTACCAAAAAACCCCCAAAAAATCCTGAACATTAAGTAATTAAGTAACCTGTGAAAACACACATAAAGGACAAAAAAATTTACAGACCATATTGTTTAATACATCTTTCAAGATTATTTTTTTACAAAGTGTAATATGACAAGCACAAGGCCAGCATAATCTGGGCAATTTCTGAAAATCGAATTTACATGCAGAAAATTGGCACCTCTGGTTATCTTCAACTGCATTCCAAAGATGTTTCTTTTTCTCTGCTCTTTCAATGCCGACTCCGTTAAAAGAGCTACCTGGCAGAGAAACCATAACCATCAAGAACATTTTTTGAAGTTTGAAAACATCCCATAAAAACCTTGTAGAGTTCGTGAAAAACGAAACCCTTCACCTTTGCTGATTAAGTTTTAGTTTTAGTTTTAGTAGAGGTTTTACGGCGCTCGCAACTGCATAAGGTCATATGAACGCCAGAAGATTAGAGGTGTCACAAGAGAGTAACAAACATAAAAAAGAAGAAGGGGAGATAAGGACGATAGATGTTTGATAGGAAAGAAGAAGCAGCTGATTTAGGGAGAAAAAGCAACTACACAGGATCAGAACAACGCAACATGTCTCCTCCTCTCCTCTCATTTTCACTAAAATATTAGCTCCCAAGCACACAACACATACAACATACATACACCCACACTCTCACACACCATTGCATGCATATTCAATTCCAAACCCAAAGTTCAAACTAAAATTGATGAATATTCATCAATCATTACAAAAACAACACGCATTGACCCAAACAGTGAAAATTGTATTCACTGCCAAAACACACATATAAGGAGTCCGCTTAAACCATTCAGTCTTTCTCAACATCACTGTGTGACATGATAAAGTTCACCTTCTACTTCTAAGCTGGGTAGAATGGACAACTTGAGCTATCAAAACCATTCATATAAGCACATTAAAAATATTAAGCAAAAAAGAGGACAATGAACAATGACGTGAGATGTATAAACAGACAGACTAAATCTATGCCAGAACAGCAAACATGAGTTGACCACAGTAAAAATGGCAAAGCTTGAGCAGAAATAAAATGGAAATTTCCATTTCTAGATTTCTGAATACACCCATTCATGAAACCAAGGCATGGAGAAGAGACATATATATATGTGATAAATACAATCTTAACATCACACAGACTGACACTGAACCATCAAAATCAGCAATCAGTGTTTCGTAACTGCCTGTGTGTGTAATCCACGGCTCATTTTTACAAGTACAGGACTTTTACCTTCAGCGAGGATGAAACAAGACTAGGGAGTTACTAAAAACATGAAAATTTAGACCGGGCTGAGAGATAATCTGTGACAGAGAATCAAGAATGAACGACAAAAGAAATGATTCAGAAGCGCAGGTCTCAACAATCCAACACTACAACAACTGCAACTATTCTTCACCTTGATACAAGCCCATGCATACTCATAGACACACGATAACAAAAGTACCAAGCTCATATCAGCTCACATACACACACAGACAAAAGTAGGCCCACAAAGCTCACGCACGCTAACAGACACACACTGACAAAAGTACAAAAACTGAGCAGCTTCCAATGCCATAATATGACAACTTTCAGTAGAAATCCTCTGGATCTTCCTCTCCTTTATCTGTCTTAGCCTGGTTCTGTATCTGGCTCTGTGCTTTGTACATTCCTGCTACCTGCAACACAAGGAAAGAGAATGACATCAAAGATAAATATATTAGCATATAAGTATGTGTATGTATGTAGGCCTTTTGATAATATGTCTATGGTGTACCTGCATGTTTTCCTATCAATAAAAAATGCTTGATTAAAAAAAAAAAAAGACAAAGAAAGAAAGAGAGTGAGTGAGTGTGTGTGTTTGGGAGGGAG